AAAACACATCAGATGTTCCATGTTCGGCTCTGTTCGTGCATGATTTCGTCGTGTTCATGAAAAAGTGTGGCTTAAAGGATGTAGAGTGTTAGCCTTCATCTAACCTCTGCATGCGATCATTCGGAGCCTAGTTTCCGTCGCCTGGGAGTGGGCTGGAAGAGAAGCACAAACTACTGTTGGTGACATATTATAGCCTATAGTTGTAGTGATATGTTACTTCAAAGCCTTGTACGAAGTTTCAGATTCCTTACCTGACCAGCTTGCCAGAGAACCCTTCGGTTACTTAAGTAGGACGTCGTACCCATGGAAATCTGCTAAATTCAATCAAGGAGCTGTGTGTTACTTAGTCCTCAGCCCTAAACCTTGGGCTCAGGAGTGACTGTACGTGTAGTTGCCAGGCCAGGCCAGGATACACCCGTCTGCCTGCCAGGCTCTCTGGCTGCCGAGCTGCCTTTCTGTCCGTCTGCCTGCCTGCCTGTCCATATGTCTGTCCGTAAGTGTGTATGCATGTATGCGTGTGTGTGTATGTAGTTATGTAGGTAGGACGGTTTAGGGTTTAGGGTAGGGCTGGTTTAGGGTTAGGTATGTGTGTGGGTATGTATGTAGGTATGTACGTAGGTCTGTCGGTATGCAGGTATGTGGGTATGTCATATTTATGTATGTATGTATGTATGTATGTATTTATGATATGTGCGTATGTTTGTACGCACGTCTGAACGTGAGTGTGTACATACGTAGGCAGGTAGTCCGGTAGGTATTGCAATATACACTGCACGTGTATTATGCACATATCCGTGCACACAAGCATGCATGAACATGTCTTTGTACAAGTATGCCATCATGTCTTTCCCGAATACCCAACTAAACTACAGCCGCAAGTAATCAACCTCTGCTCCCCCCAAACCCTACCTGGATCCTGTTGAACGCACCTTTTTCAGGATTTGTATAAGGAAGCCATATTAAGGAGCCTAAAAGTATAGGTTATTTAGGGCTGAGGTAAATCTAAACCCGTAAACCCGAGCTTCCACATGGAGGAGATCACTGACGGCATCGTTGGCGGGAACATCGACAAGATCTTTGGCCAGAAGATGTGGATGCCTCCCCGGCCGATTCAAGGGTTTAGGTTAAAGCTTTAGGGCCCATTTGGGAGTTTAGGGTTTAAGGTTTAGGGCCCATTCATTTGAGAGGCTTAAGATTTAGGGTCCATTTGAGGGTTTAGGGTTTATGGCTTAGGGTCCATTTCAGGGTTTACTTAAACCCCCCGACGTGGGTAAACTGATGGCTCAACGCGTACAGAAGGCCATTATTCTACATACTTTTAGGGCCCAGGTAGGGTTTACGGCCGATTTGAGGTAAAGGAAAGGAAAGCTGCTTGGACTGTCAGCCTGCTTAGCAAGTAGGCTACAACTACTTCTGTTTCGGGTTATAAACAAATATTATAACCGTGGTTACCTTTTTTTTCTTATCCTCTGGTGCCTCCGGTCAAGCAGCTCAGAAGGTTCCGAAACCCAAAACCCTAAACCCTAAACCCTAAACCGTGTTGAAGGTTCAGACATGAGGGCCAGCGCTGGTGGTCCCATACTAGGTCTGCGAGTGGGCCCTTCTGTCCCTTTTTGTTGTTTCCTTTTTCAAACGAATAGTAGGAACAATGAACATCATTTTTTTTTTGTGGGGGGGGTGGGGGTTACTAGGGAACATAGCATGCAAGGAAGTGCAATGACCAGCCCTGAGACCTGAACTTGACAGCGGGGTGGGTCGAGGTCATGCCACGGGGGTTCCCTGAGGAGACTTAGTAAGGGTTCTTAAAGGGCCCCTTAAAGGGATCTATAGGGTTCCTTCAAGGGATCTATAGGGTTTAGTTTAGGGTTTAGGGTCTACTTGGAGGATCATGAGGAGAGTGGAGAAACCTGGTCCGCTTCGCGGATCGGAAACTAGACGAAGGGAGAGCGGTGTATCAAGGATGATGGCATATTTCTGCCAGTCGTAACAGAGCACTGCTCGAGATCCTCTACCGAAGAGGGCATCCAGACCCCTTTCAGCACTCATTAAAGTGCCGGACTGGTTGCGAAGGTTTTGGCTAAACAGGGCTGCTCAAATGAGTTCTGCACAGCAAAAGCCTTACGTCACGCATGGCCTGGTCAGCTAAAGAAAATTGTATATAATAATCAGCATTAACCAAAAGTTCAGCAACTTTGCTAACCAGCGTTGAAAAAGCTGTTCTCCGCAGATACGGACGGAAGCCACCAAGACAGGCAGTTCGGTATTGATGCCAGAGTCAGTGCCAGAGTGCGTTCTATGGCTTTGGTATTCAGGGAGGGGCCTTTCACAACTAGAGTAAGGTTCTGTTGAAGGGTTCCTTTAAGGGTTCTAGAAGAGTTCCATAATGGGTTCTATGGTTTATGTATTCAACGAGGGGCCTCTGAGAACAAGAATAGGGTTCCTTTAACCGATTTCTTTAAATGTCTCCAGAAGGGTTCTACAGAGGATTTGGTGTCGTTAGCGTTCCTGTTCAGGACCTCGTTTTATCGTTGTGGGTTGCCATACCGTGGAAATCACATAGTTAGGTTTGTAGATATTACACCTCCAAAGTAAGTGAGGGTAGGTTGAGGTCATTGCGGAATGCCGTAATCCATGACAGGCTCATCTCTGTGCCTATTGCTATCGCCTGCGCCCTCTGTGGTGGCTTGGATCAAGTTTGGGGGTGTTTGTTCATGGAGCTTCGGTTTTCCTGGAGCCTAGAAAACCTGCATGTTAAGGGCTCATTCTTATGATTTCTACATGTCTCCTAAGTCTTGAATTAAAACGAGTCAGGTATTTGGGTTGTGAACGTCTGTTTGGTATTTACTATCTCAACATGTATAATTGAAAAGCTGGAAATAAGGTAAATTAAAGCGACAGGGGAAAAAGGTAACCACCAATACACGCTCACACTATTTGGGGCTTACAGAGTTGCGGTTTTTTTTGGGAGGGGGGGGTTAGGGGTTGGGGGTGCTTCGAGTTTCGAGATTCGTCTGACTTAGAGTTTGGGGGCTTTGTTCTTGGGGCGTTGGGGTTTAGGGTTTACAAGGGATCCTATAAAGTTCCTTTAAAGGGATCTTTAGGGTTCCTTGAAAGGGATCTACAGGTTTTCCTGAAAGGAGAGCTATCCGGTTTCTAGTGCTTGGGGCTTTGGGGTTTAGGGTATTTTGTGTTTAGGATCTGAGGCTTAAAGTTCAAGGTGTCCGAACTCCAATGCTGTATGGATCTCACTTACCTTACAACAGTCACAGCCCTAAAAAGCTCTAGGTCTCTGAAGCCCCCGAACCTGAGTAGGAATTTATATATTCCGATCACCACAGGAAGTTTAACCTTGCTGGCGCTACGACTCAGCTCCTAAGTAAGTCGTTCTTCGCATTTCCTGGTGCCCAGGATTTTTCCAGTGACCCCTTCATAGTATGGGCACCTCTTTCCCATGACTCAGTGCTAAGAAGGAGGCACCAGCAAAAGAGCACAAGGGGGCCCCCGGAACCTACAACCCCAAAGCAATCAGGCTGTCCCTAAACCCGAACATCCTTAACCCCAATCCTATACCCTTAAAACCCACTACCCCACGGACTCCCCCAAGAACCCTAAACACAAAAACCCTAAACCCCTAAACCCTCAAAGCCTCAATCCTATAGTCTAGACCGTAAACCCTAGAGATCCATTGTAGATCCCGTTTAGATCTCGCCTTCTGCCACTCCGAGGCTACTCTTTGGTTTTTAATAGGAAGAGCTTAAGGTCCCTAATAGTACTCCCTGCAACCCATTCCCTCATTCCCTACACCGCAGAATCCCTACACCCCGAAACCCCAAACCCCTACACCCCTAAACCCCAAACCCCCAAACCCCGGACCCCTAAAGTCGTAAGTCCTAAAGTCTAGCTTCTGCAGCTCCGAGGCTATGTCATCTCGAGGAGCAGCTGTGGAAGCCTGAGAAGTCCTTCGTAGCGACCAGGAAAAGAAGGTTTAGGGACACAGAGGTTTAGGGTTGAGGGTTCAGGGTTTAGGGTTTAGGTAGGGGTTAAGGGTTTAGGGGTTTAGGGTTGATAGTTTAGAGGTTTATGGGTTTGGGGGAACTCCTCACTTTTTGGTTTCTACTATTGTACAGAGTTTTCAAGATTTCTGTCGCCCTGCTCTTGCAAGATAGCCCACGTGGGGCGGGGGTGGGGTTCGCAGGCTGAGGATTTCATATTTGGAGTTCGTACATTTCGCCTCGAACAGCTAGTTTCGGTTCAACTGTTGGTGCAGTCTCAGGAGGAGATTCCCCCCTTCCAGACGGGATTCGTAGTTGTATAAGAACTACGTACCATTTAATTGAACCGTAACCCCAACTCTAAACCCAAACCTTAAGCCCCAGACCCCAAAGCTTACGGCCCACATCCCTAACCTGAGATGCGGACTAGAGCCTCACTTCACGACGCAGCTTCCACCCCCTTCCTTGGTTTCGGGGTACTTAGCCCAACCGTAAACACTCTGTAAAGTTTTCAGCATAAGCCGTTAACACAAAACTCCAGAACCCATGGAGGAGAGGGCTTTTGTGCTTTGATTTCGGTTTAGGGTTTGGCTTTAGAGTTCAGGGTTTGGGTTAAGGGTTTAGGGCCCTTTCGGGCCGAGGGCTTTCATTTGGGGTTTTGGCTTTGTTGAATGTGCCCGGAAGGCATCGAGAAGAGTGGCAGCAGCACCGACAGCATTTTAAGGGCTGTAACTTGGGTACGGCCCCCACTCAGTAATAGTTGAATAGTATTATGTAGATGTAGATATATTAGGACCTTAATAGCAGCCCTATTATACACTCTTACTGTAAGGGGGCAGTACCTAAGCAACAGCACTGACAGCATTCCAAGGGCAGTAACAGTCAGAATGGCATCTTAAAGTTCCCCGTCTTAACCATGAGCCCTCCACCCTAAATCTGCGCAAGCAACATGTGCAGTAGTCTCTACACAGGACCCCTACTGCACACTTTTTCTGACGAGCGCCCGCCATGCCCATTCCATGGAACCAAAGCCAAAGAAGCCGAAGCTTTGCCGCTGGTTTCGGAGGGACAGGGGCTGCTGCTTTGGGAAAGCCTGCACCGGCATTCACTCCTGGCAGTGTCTTTCGAAGAAGGACCGCTGCCTCTTATGCGGAAGCAAAGAACATCGAGCCCAGAGCTTTTCTGCGCGAAGCACTGGACGTGCGGCCGGACACGAACAATTGTTCGGGTGCCGTTCTGCATGTTTCCAAGTCAATGACGTGGCCCCGGTGTTTGGTCCGCCTTCCGTGGCCGATACGTGGGCCAACAACTGTGTCCGACAGAAGCTCCGGGAGCTCCATCCCGACGCCTCCTGGGTCCTGGACCACTGCAAGTGCGACATTTTTAGGCCGACATCCCGAAAGCTTACATGGGGTTCAGAGTTAGGGTAAGACCTAGAAGCCCCAAGCTACCGTGCTCCTGAAGGTTGCGAGAGTACGCAATTTGAGTGCACTAGAAATTCTGAAACTATAGAACTATAAGACTGCAATGTTGAATACCCTCGAAGGAGAAACCTGGTGAATTTTAAACCCTAAACCCTGTAAGAAGAGCCACCGTCAACCGTATCATCAGGCATTCTGCATGATCTGCGCATGAAATACCGACCAGCCTTGCCGACCTGTTTGGAGTTAGGATTTGGAGGGTTCAGGGCTTAGGGTCAAAGGGGAAAAAGAGGGACCTTTAATGGGGACAACTACGGTATAATGAACCATATTATGGGTATATAATAGCTATATTAAAGGTATATCCCTAGGGGTCCTTATTAAGGGTTCCTCCTTTTCCCCTTAGATAGGGCTTTAGGTTCAGACTTCAGGCTCAGGGTTGTCGGTCGAAGATTTCAAGGGTTAGGGGTTTAGGGCTACCTGTATCCCCAAACCCTACAAAATGGTAGGTCATGAACTCCTTAGTTGGCTTTGGTATGCGTGTACTGGTGCATGCATTCGGCAGAGGAAAGCGATATCGTTGTGTGTGTGTGTGTGCGTGCGTGCGTGTGCGAGTTTGTTCCCGACATTCAGGTTCAAACTCATAACCAACTGGAGTGGCTCCGAGCGGTCTACCCGAAACCTTAACGCTCGAACCTGGCAATTAAACTCCAAACTTCTGTCTGGTTCTCAATAGGGAATGGGGGAATGGATCCCTATGATAGCCCCTTAAGGTCCCCTATGGTAGTCCCAATAACCCATGTCCCCATTCCCTACTCAGAACCAGACGAAGTTGGTGGAAGGGGTTTGGGGTTAATGGTTTTGCGCCGAGGCATTCATGGGTAACGGGGGGATGGCCTCATGACAAAGAACAAACGAAAACAGTTGCAATATTGCCATTAAACATTTACCAATTTATACGACCTGTATAACAGCATGTAGCCCCAAGCCAAGCCTACACCCAAAACCTTAAAGCCTAAACCGATGACCCTGTCACGACACTGGACTAGCATCCTAAAGAAACCGTCTTGGCTTCAAGCTGCATGTCACGGTGGCACAAACCGAAAGACTGAATTTGAACTGACTTTGAGTCCTTATACAAGGAATCATATTACAAGGAACCCCCAAAAGGCAGATTGTATAGGGTCCCAGTACAGTTTTAAGGATAGTTTTTGGTTGGGTCCGGGATAATTAAGTTATGCATATGAGTACGGCAAGTACCCTCCCCATGTTCTGGAAATATCATGTTGACTTGCATGCCTATTCGCGACAGCTCACGCCAACGCCGTTGGTCTTCGCGGTACAGGCCTTTGTGCTTCCGGCAGGGGCTCTTGCAACCTGGGGTCTAACATGTAGATAGTATAATGGGCCTTCAAGCATAGATTCAACCCGGAAGTCTTCCAGCGGCTCCTGAATGTAGCACGCCTCAATAGTTTCAGGGATGCTGGCGTCTCTCTATGACAATTACTTTGGACACAGCCTGGATTCCTGTAGCCGTAGTTGGGTTTCGCTGAGTTGCTAGGGTTGCATGGTTGCTTGTCAGGAACCGAGTTCAAGATGCCACTACAATTTTGGGTATGTGCTAGGTAATACGACTGTCTCGTCATGGCAACTTATACACATCATTGCAACTCATACACAATGAAGGCACATGCGCAATGGGAATTTGGGAATCCGGCCAGGGAGGACAACCCCTGTTTCTGAGCGAGGCTCTTAAAGGATCATGGGACTTGGTAACTAGGGTAATATTTAGAGTAACTATACTTGTAACTACTTATAACCCCAATTAACGTACTTATAACTTATAACCTTACTTACTAAGTGCCATGATCCTCCAAGTACAGAGTCTCCTTGCACGTTAACCAACCTTAAAGTTTAGGCTTCTGGGGTATACCTCAGCCCTGGATGTAGAGGAAGCTGGTCACAGAGAGACCCTGGTTTTGTTAATCAGGAGTTTGATCGTTTTCTTTAGGGTTCTGCAGGTTCTATAAGGTGTTTACATTGTGTTTTGTGAATCTAGTTTTTCGATTCCGACTACACTTCCCAAAGGCTCCATGTACCCACATAGTAGGCACAGGCCTTAAAGTGCCTATATAGGGACCCCTTTAGGGCCTAAGTGTACCTAGTATATGAGCACATGGAGTCGTAGGGCTTGCGGAATCTCCCGAAGGCCCAAACTCCAAGCCTCCTCAGAGCTCCAACCCTAAACTATAATACTTAAAGGATCATGGGACTTAGTAACGAAGGCTATATTATAACTACTTATAACCCCAATTAAGGTACTTATAACCTTACTTACTCAGTCCCATGATCCTCCAAGTAGGCTTTAGGGCTTGAGGGCTGGGCTTAGGGTCTAGACGGTCTAGGGGTGTAGGGTGTGGGGCTTTATAGGGTCTATCTGGGTTCGATGGCCTGCCAAACATAACAGGGCGCTTTGTCAGCATGCATCAGTCTCAAGACCTACACACTTAGTGCAGGGCTGTGAAGCTTATCATATGTCTCATAACACGAAGGGCATCATGTGCTGTGCAACTGTGCAACATCATAGCAGCTAGCAATTGTGGAGGTTTGCCGGATTTCTGACAAAGAGCTCTGAACCGGAAAAACAACTGTGCATTGCAGTTTGGGGGTCAGGATGTAATGTAGTCTTTGCGCAGCGGGTCGGGGACTCCGACAGGTTTGAGCTACAACTTGACCAAGCATGCTACCTGACTGAAGTGACAATGATGATTTCGGAACAGTTGTCACGTGGACCCTCAATCTGCACTGCAGGTCAGTGATACTGTCATGTTGGTGTGCGATGCCCTCATCCTGGCCCGCTGTTTCCCGACAAGCATGGAGGATCAGAATTCTGCTCCTCCCTCCCGACGGGACCGAAGTCGTGACGGCAATCCCTGCGGATGACCCTATGGGCTCTACCAAAGAGGAGGTAAAGAGTGAGGAAGCCCCCCTCAAGGGGCTTACCGAGGACGAAGGCGACCCGGCAGAAAGCCGCCCTGAGCGGAAGAAGATCGTCCTCGCGACCGGGCAGCTCACCCTCCTGCGTGCGCTCGCGGCAGCGAATGCCTCAAATTGGACGAGCGTGAAGCAGGCTCTCCGCGAGGCACACGGCACCGGAGCGGAGAAGAACTTAAAATTGTTTCACATGGGCTGTTTGCTGTGTGTTCGGTCAGGTTTTTGAGGTTCGGGTAAAATTTAAACTGGTTGTCGCAAACAAGACCGTTGACATGCAACTCAAACCCTAAACCCCAATCCCTAAATCCTAAACCGTGGCTCTTGAATGACCTCTGTGCACGAAGGCGCTCATCTCAGCATCCCTGGGGGCAGTCGTTTTCAACGTGACGGGACTCCGTGGGGTCCGCCCGCCTGCTTTATCTGAGGGGTTCTTCGGGGTTTATTGTTTAGATTTAGGGTTTAGGGTGCTTTGGGGTTTAGGGGTTTATGTAGGAGTTTAGGGATTTAGGGCTTTAGAGTTTAGGGTTTAGGAGTTTACGGGTTTAGGGTTCAGGGTTTTAGGGGTTTAGGGCTCTTTGGATTTGAGGGTCCTGGCGTCTGGACTGTTCGATCTGTCTACGACGTCTACGGTCGGTTTCAGTATTGGGCCGGAGGTCTTCAAATTTTAGGGTTGAGATGTGTTGAGTGTATATCGATATAGGTTTCAGTGTTCAGGGATTGCAAGTTGCGCGATTTGAGGTTTAAGCTCCTCACATTGAGTTCCAGGGTTTCTGGACTCTCAGGCCACGTTTTCCTACGACTTTGCCTTGTTATCAGAGGCCACCCTGAACCCCTAACCCCCAAAACTCCAAACTGTTTGGAGTTTTGGTGGTTTGAAACTCTAGACTGTAAACCGAAGATTAAGGCCCTACTTATTCCTAAAGCAGCCAGAGTCCCCATTCCGACAACAAACGGGAGGCTTCAAGAAACCAAAGCCCTGGGCAGTATTAGGGAGACCCCGAAATGGGGACCCTTCTTAACCGCTCTCTTAAAAGGAACGTTATTGAGAGGGTCTATATCCCCAAGGGTCCCCCTAATCCTAACTCCTGGCGGGGCCCCAAAGCGAAAACCTAAGAATTACCTGGTCCTTAAATAACTTATCTTTTTAGGATCCCTTATTCTGTTACCCCTTATACATGTCTTTAGAAGATAGGTTAAGGCAGGGTTTAGGGCTTAGGGTTTAGGGTATAGGGTATACCTCTAGTCTCCATTGTAGTTCTTTTTTTGGCCCTAGCCATTGATATAGCGAGGATCGTGTATTTTAGGTATGGCAGAAAACGAACTACCATGGAGACTATAAGTATACTTCGGGGGCCCAAATACTGTATCTACTAAGGGCTCACTAACACGGTACTTGGACCGTTAGATGCATTGCAGCTTCGCAGCGCTAAACTTGATACGCCCAAGTTCAACAAGAAGGCTACAACCCCCAAAGCCCGAAACCTTGGATTCCCCCAAGAATCCTACAAATCTGAAAGGTCTGGGGCATCGGCGCCGAGTCCCTCGAAAAAGCCATGCAGATGGACTCGCAGTAAAGCCTGATTTGACAGAGGATGAGATCTACGTAGGTCTTCACTGTTGTTTGAACGTTTTTCAAAGGGGACAAGGGAGGACCTTTAATGGGGACCCCTACCCTATAATGGGCTATATCATGGCTATATAACAGCTATTTCAAGGGTATATACCTAGGGGTCCTTATTAAGGGTCCCTCCTTTTACCCTTGGAGTTTTTGTCGTTGGTGGTGTGTGCTGTTGGCTGTTGGGTCTTTCTGCACGGAAGTTGCAAAGGTTCTATCGCCTTAGGGTTACTTCCCCTTTAAAGGAACCCTACGACCCTTTATAGATCCCTTTAAAGGAGCCCTTAGACCAACCCTAAACCCTAAACCCTAAACCGTTACTTGTCTTCGGGGTATGAGTTCAGTGGAGTCTAGGGCTTGGGGGGCCTCCAGGGCTGGTGGATTAATGTAGGAGCCTTGCTTCATAGAATAGGTTTTGAGCCTTCAGGAATGTAATTTGAGGAAATATAGGGGTAAGAGAGGCATATCAGAACTAGATTCGTCAGATCCCATATTGCGCCAGTCGTACTTCGATGATCTTTGGAGATAGGCAGCGCGGCCCGCAAAAGTTCCGAGAAGGGCTGCCAAAAAGAGCAAGAGTGCTTTGGCCGACAGGGATATCGCGCCCCGTCGAAAGCTCCTTCAGGGTGTGGGAAAGGCGAAAGCTTTAGCAGGCCGAGTGCTGGCAGATGCTGCTGCCGAAGAAGAGTGGCGAAATGCTACCGTGGGAAACACGGGGGGAAGGGCCGAGGAGCCCTATGTGGGTGGTTGCCAAAATTATGGTCCCTTTTTGGGTCCTTATTATAATACGTATTATAATACGGCACCTAATACTTAGGGTACCCCAAAAGGGGCCATAACTTTGACAACTACCCATGTGGTGAGCCACGAGGAGGAAGTTTCCAACTCGGCCACATATAGCTTTAAGAGGTACTTAGAAATATTTTTAGTTTCTGGTTATTATAATCCCTAAGAAACGGCTAGAATGATAATTTTTGCTAGGGTTCTACATAAGTTCAGCATAGTATGGCATTAAGAGGTAAGTGCTGAATTCGGGTTCTCAGCCCCCACGACACTTATCAAATTGCCATGGGCTTCTCAGTGGCCGGGGCAGCGCAGCTGCAGGTGTAATTGCTTCAACCTCATCCCTACCTGCCAAGATGCCTGATCCTGGAAGGCTTGCATCCGAAAGCTTCGAGGATGTGTGCTGCTCCAACCTAAACCTTAAACTCTATGCCCTAGGCCCTAAATCTCTAACCTCTTCGAACCGAGGCAAGCCCCAAAACCTACTAAAGTCTAGACTGACGCTTCAGCCCTAAGCCCTTACATCCTAAATACTATGAGCTTTCAGCCCTATAACCTAAACTTTAAATTCTGATCGTCATTGTCGCATCACAGCTTTGAGTTTAGAGACAGTCGGCTCTACTTTCATAGGGATCCTTAGGGGTGTAGGGGGAGGGGGGATAGGGGGCCTTAAGGCCCATAATAAGGACTCGTAAGGCCTATTTAAGGAAATATAGTCCCCTACACCCCTCCCCCCTACACCCCTAAGGATCCCTATGATACTTTGAGGATCTTGGAGCCCAGTAAGGTTCTTTAAAAGGGTACTACGGTTTAGGGTTTAGGGTTTAGGGTTTAAAGGGTTCCCTAAACGGGATAAAGGGGGGTACGAGATTTAGACTAAATAATTTCTTCAGTGTTGATTGGGGTCACAAGCAATCATAAATAATAGTCAGGGTCACCTTATTCATAAGCCTAGTTACCAAGTCCCTGCAGGACATTCCCATGGGACACTTCGTTCTCTTTGCGATCGGCAAGGCCGCGAGAAGTTCAGTGACTTACTGGTGCCGGGGGGGGGGGTGAGCGGATCCCTGGTCGCCGGTATATTCAGGGTTTAGGGTTTAGAATTTAGGAGTTTAAGGTTTAGGGTTTAGAATTTAGGAGTTTAAGGTTTAGGGTTTAAGGTTTAGGGTTTAACGTTTATGCCTCCACTTCTTCAGGCACCAGTGCGGTGCTTGGGGGCTCTCGAAGCCCAAGAACTTATTAGCACCGAGCCCTAATTAGATCAGAAATGAACGCTCATACTAACACTTTATACCTGAACCCCCAAAGGTAGGTAAAACCATGGCCCAAAACCTATAAAAGGGCCATTATTCTACATACTTTTGGGCCCGGACTCTAAGTAAGCCCTCAACCCTAAACACCATAGATCCCTTTAAGAAACCCCTATAGATCCCTTTAAAGGAGGGGTGTTTATGTACCGGCTTTTTACAGGGAAATCAATGGAGACCCAGGACCTTTTGTTTTGTTCGGGATCTGGGGGTTTCCGAAAGAAGGGGACCCTAATATAGTACCGAAATAGTAGGATCCTTATTATAAGGACCCCAAAATCAAGCAGCCCTGATTTTCGGAAACTCCCATCTGACTTGAGGTTGTCAGGCTGGGCAGCTTGATTATATAGTATAGTGTGGTAGATCTGTACATCTTGTTATATCTTACTATACCAGAGTATAACAACAAGACTAGAAGATGTACTGTATAGACATGCATGTCGTAAAGCGTAGTCTACTTTAGTACATTGTATTGGTTCCTCAAGCTTCATGGGAAGCGCTGAACGGGTTTCGCTTGGCTTTTCGGCTCTTCTCCGTGAAGCTGTTACCAACTCAGAGAGCCCAATACCCCTTAATTAAGCAGTATACCTTAAACTATAAGGGGATTAATATTTTGATTTAAGGTATATTCCTTAATTAAGGGGTATTGGGCTCTCTGGGAACTTGAGTCTTTCAAGCTGCATCTCGGGTCGGCAGCTGCGGAGCTCACCCCCCCCCCCCCCCCCCCCCCCCCAAACCCATATGGTAGTTTCCGAAAATTAGGGGCACCTTCTTTGAGGGTCCTTATAATAAGGATCCTACTATGAAGGGTACTACATGAGGGTCCACTTATTTCGGAACTCCCATATTGCTGAACCCCAAACCTTAACCTCTAAACCCGGGCCCTGTAAACCCTTAAACGGCCCTAAACCCAAAACTCTACTCCTTATTCCCGTCACTCGACACAGGCCCGAGAGGGTCTTACTTGGAGGGGCAGGCGACCTAGTAAGTCGTTTATAAGTAGGGTTATATAATTGGGGTATTTAGGACACTTATAACTCTGTTTTTATGGGAGTTTCCGACAATAGGGGACCCTAATATAGTACTCTCAATAGTAGGATCCTTATTATCAGGACCCCAAAATAAGGTACCCCTGATTTTCGGAAACTCCCATATCCTAGTTACTAAGTCCCCGGCCCCTCCAAGTAGGGTATGGACCTTCGGGATCTTCCTGGGTTCTTGTTAAGAGCTTATTTTAAGCTATCATAATTTTGGAGCTGCCCCCACCCTGTAATAGTGGTATAATAGGAGTATAATAGGGCCCTAATATAATCCTATATAATCCTTATGGTCACTATTACAGGGTGGGGGCAGCTTCTAAATCATAATGATCAACATCATTGACATGTGTCCGTAGTGTGGTAGCTTAAGCTCAGTTTCTGAAAAGAACCCAGTTAAGTGTGCGGAGTATTTCGGACAGTGCGGCACTTCGCACTGCGTCACTGCGCTTTGCGGCTTGGCCATGCTGCGCATCACGTGGCTCTCGGGTGAAGAACTGACAAGCATTCCCTGCAGGGAAGTGAGCGATGTGAGGGCGTTGAAGTGGCGATTGCATCAGCTTCATGGCCTACCACGACGCTTCTGGCAAAGAGTTTCTTAGGGGCACTTAGCACTATTGTTTCACAGTTTTGGTTCGTATAATGCCTAAGAAACAGCTAAGCTTACAAGTGTTGCTAGAGGTCTAAGCTCAGTCTACAGTAGAAGCCAGAAAGTTGGGATATGATTATCCTAAGCCCTTTATGGTAAACTATAAGATATCCTACCCTGAAACCATATTCCAACTTTCTGGAGTTCCCTTTAGGGGTTTAGGGTTTTAGGGATTTAGGGAGATAGACCCCCCATAGATCCTTCTAGTCTAAGGAACGGCTTTCGAATGAAGTAGAGTCCTAAACCCAACCTTCCAACTTTCTGGAGTTTCCTGTAGGTTTTTCGTGATGTTGCTAGAGGTCTAACTAAACCCTAAACCCTAAAACCTAAACCCTAAACCCTAAACCCTAAGTTCAGTCTAGGTTTTTCGTGACGGCAAGATGTTGGATGATGCCGTCGAGTTGGACTCTGCGATGGATCTCCAGGTTCTGACAATGCCGCCGCAGTTCTCAGATGCTAGCGATGTGCAGCTGGAACCTTGGGGGGACCTTATAAAGGGGTCTATAAGGGTTACTATAAGGGATCTATAAGGGTACTATAATATAGGGGCCTTAGTAATCCTATAACTTACCTCTTGGCTTACCTTTGGTTAGTAAGTAAGGTTATAAGTACCTTAAGTGGGCTTATCTGTAAGTAGTTATGAGTATAGTTAACACGGTTTAGGGCTTACTTCGCTTTGGTTAGTAGAGAATGGAGGAATGGGGTACCATTATAACTACCGTTACTACCACTCTTCCATTCCCTACTAACCAAGGGTAAGTTGGCCGCTCTTGGGACTACCACATAGTCGCCTTTTTAGTCATTTGTTGAGGGTTACCAGGTTACCAGGTATTGGAACCAAAATGTAAAAATTGGAGGGGAACGAGAATGGACACTGAGCGTAGTTGAGGTTTCAGTCAGTCTTGCGTCAGCGCGGTTCCTGACCGAAAACAAGCATGTGCCGTTTTAAGGGTCTCCCAGCCCAAAGCTCTACACACCAAAACCCGAATCTTGTACAGCTCCCTAAGGGTCCATGTACTCAAATAGTAACTATATACTTTGGCCTTAAGTAGTCCCTATATAGGTACTTTGGGGCCAAGGTATATGCTATTTGGGTACATGGACCTTGAGGGGCTTAAACCCAAGGCCCAACACCCTCAGCCCTAGGAAAGGCTGTATGATGCGGCCAAGGACGGCCTCGTGGAAGAGGCAGGGCATGTGAACCAGCTTTAAAGCCCAAACTCTAGAAGTCCTTAACCCTTTTAGTCCCAGTAGCCCTACATACAAGCCAAAACCTTAAATCCTCAGGCCCCGCACTTAAAGGACCAGGGGAGTAAGTAGGCCTCAGATTAAGAATTTGGTGTTTTAGGCGCACTTCAAGGATCCAAGCCCCGACCCCTATAAACCCTAAACCCTGGCCCCTAAACCCTAAACCGTTACGCCATCAGCCTTAAACTACACCCTGAAGCCTAAAAGGACCCGGCAGACCAAAGCCCCGAGGTTGAGGATCTGCTGCAGGAGCGACTGCACCCGGATGCAGGCTATGATAAGTGGAATTGGGAAGGCTCGTGCGGTGCTTTTTTGGGGTCATGACTGAGAATGACGGGAGGTTCATGGGACTTAGTAGTACGGTTATACTTGCTTTAATTGGACTTATATGTAGTTGTAAGTATGGGTACTTTAAGTATAACCTTAGTTACGAAGTCCCATGGTCCTTTCAGCACACCCTAAACCCCTAATTAAACCCCAATAGTTCCCTTATAGAAGTCGTAGAACCCGGATAGATTCCTTAAAGGAGCCATTTAAGTGTAACCTTACTTATAACGAAGTCCCATGGGCCTTAAGTCCCATGGTCCTTGAAGAAGTATATTACCCTAAAATATCGTATTTAATATAGAACCTTTGTAGAATCCGTTAAAGGAGCCCTTTAAGGAACCTTAGTACCTTAAGTAATTATAACACTTTTTCCTAAGTCCCATGGTCCTAGATATCTTTAAGCACCCCTTTAAGGGGCCCTATAGTACCCAAATGGGTGGTTGTCAAAATCATGGTCCCTTTTTGGGCCCCTAATATAGTACGACACCTAATATTTAGGGTTCCCAAAAAGGGACCCTACTTTTGACAGCCACCCAAATAGACATCCCTTTCAGGAGCCCGTTCAGGAGCCTTAGTTCCTGAGTCCCATGGTCCCTAAACCCTAAACCCTACTTAAAGGATCATGGGACTTAGTAACTAGGGTTATAATTAGGGTAACAATACTTATAACTACTTATAACCCCAATTAAGGTACTTATAACCTGACTTACTAAGTCCCATGATCCTTTAAGTAGACCCTAAACCCCTCAACTCAAGGCATAGGCCGCCCACCTACTGCGGGTGGGCCGCGCTTATGAGCCCCTCGCAACCGATGCCGAAAAGCCGACCAGCCCGCCTCTCCGCAGCCATGGGGACCGTAGCACCCATGTCGTACCCGTTACCGTAACACGTTCTCGTCTGGGCCCTGAACAAAGTGATTCCCCTGACCTGCACTGCCCTTTGCCCCGTGCCCTGCCCCTGCCCCTGCCCCTGCCCTGGCCTGCTTTCTGTTTTGCGGCAAACAGAAGAGAGACATAGTTCATGAGTCTTGGCCTAAACCCTAAAGGGAATAGGTTTCGGCGGTTTGCCGGCTTATATGGCGTGGGGTGGGAGGGAAAGAAAGAAAAGCCTTGTACAGACAGGCTTTCACTGCTTACGGCCAGAGTACGATGCACTCGACCCAACCTAGGCTTGTCGCAAGAATTTATCGCTTATGCGCCGTTCCACGGCAAACCTTGAACCTCAGACCCCTAAACCCCTGAACCCTAAGTCCCATGGCCCTTTCTTGAAGGTCCGTGCACGCCACTGATGCTCGCCTCGTCGCTGGGACGACTGCAAGTTGTACAGCTCCGGGGCTCTTCTTAAAGAACTGCCTGGACTCCACGAAACCTACCTTTTAAGCTCCTTCATATGGGTGGTTCTCAAAATCAGGGTCCCTTTTTGGGTCCCTATCATAATTCGGCGCCTAGTATTTAAGGTACCCCAAAAAGGGAACATATTTTTGACAACCACCCATATGATTTCTATATGTAAGGCCCAAAAAAGGGTAGGTTGTCTGGGCTTAGTTCAAAACAATATTAGTGAAAAATAGGTGTCCTTATGATGGTAAAGAGCTACGTACGTTCAAGGCACCAGACTTTGGGTTTTAGGGTTTAGGGCTAGATAGTAGGATCTATCGCAAATACTACCCTAAGGCTCCTCAGAGGGTGTTGGGCCTTCTGGGGGAGGGTTTCGGCTTTGGGGGCTAGGGTTAGGGACCTCGCTGCAAGGGTCCAGGAGCTTTAGGGTATGGTTGTAGATTCCTGTGCCAAGAACCTAGGTTACTCCTGGAGGCCGGTGCTCAGGTGGAGTTGGATGACAGCTCTCGCTTCACAGCGCTCATGCATGCGGCATACAACGGCCATGCTCAAGTGGTTCAACTGCTCCTGGAATCTGGCTCTCACTTGGAGGACTGCGATTATGAGGACAGCACTGCCCTGATGTTTGCAGCCGGCTTCTTAGTAGCTGAGTGGATACACTTTACGCTTCTTGGGATAATATTACCCACTATAAGACTGAAAGTGTAATCTTTTGGGGGGATCATGAACTCAGCAACTCAGGCTTCGGACATGCTGAAGTCGTGAAGGTGCTCCTCGATGCCGGCGCTCGAAAGGACGCGTGCGACATCGTTTCTGGCCATACAGCCTTGATGAGAGCTTCAATCAACGGGCATGCTGAAGTCACTGAATTGCTTCTGGAGGCCAAAGCTCAGGTGAACTTGTGCGACAAGGAGCTCGGAACGCCGCTTTCTTTTGCAGCCAATGAGGGTCATGCTCAAGTCGTTCAGTTGCTCCTGGCAGCCGGCGCGAACCCGAACTTGAGCGACAGCTACAACTTTACATCCTTGATGCAGGCGGCAAGCCACGATCATGCTCCAATCGTGCGCTTGCTGCTGGAAGCTGGAGCCGACGTGGACGCACGTGATTATTTGGGCAGTACAGCCTTGATGGGTGCAGCGAGTTCCGGTCATGCTCAAGTCGTGCAGTTGCTCCTGGATGCCGGAGCTCAGAAGGACTTGCATGACGGTGACGGCCGTACGGCTTTGATGCTGGCAACAGATGCAGGACCGCGTACCCCGCTCCAACCCCAAACCTACGCCTAATCTGCAGCACATCTGTATTAAACCCTAAATCCTACTTCAACCCTTAATCTCATAGTCTCAAACCACAGTAAATCCGAAACTTTAAGCCGAACGGGAGAGCTGCAACGCAGAGAACTTGTGATCCCTAGCCCCAGACTGTCAGGACACGATGCAGTCCGCCGATTGCTGGGGCCCAGCGCTGATAGTGCAAGTTGATGCGTTGTCTGAAACTCATGGGTCCAAGTGCCTGATAAGGGTTTAGGGTTTAGGGTTTAGGGTTTAGGGTATCTACTCTCCCAAATAGTAACCTCCATAAAACTGCTCTTCGAAACCCTGAGTACCTCATTATTGGGTCCTTTTGTCCCTTAGGGGAAGACTTTCAGACCTACAATGATTGATGACCCTCTGAAAGTTCTGCGCCCCAGATGAGTACTATAAGTAGGGATTTAGGGTTTAGGGGTTTAGGGGTTTCGGGTTCAGGGGTTTAGGGTTTATTATAGGGGCTTCAATAATTACCTACCCTATGTTGGCGCCAAAATCCTATTCTAATTATTAAGGCCCCTACATTACTTTGAGGCCCAGGGGACTGAGTAAGTAGGTCGTATATAGGGTTCTAAGTATTCTAAGTGGAGGTACCCCAACTATATCCCATCCCTACTTGTAACCCGCTTGGTAAATCCCCTGGGCCTCCAAGTACGAATGGCAGAGTGTCAAGTTTGGAGCTTCGAGCTCATAGGGCCCAGAGGGTGTAGGGTCCTCAATCCTAAACCCTCGAACCCTCGAAGCCCCAAGCCGTTAGCCCTCTAAACCCAAAACCCTCTAAGCCAAGCCCGAAACCGTCTACCTTACACCCTACCTTACATTACCTAAACTATACTTACAGTATCTATACATATATATATATATATGTATGTATAACCCCAGTTAAATGTACTTATAACCTTTCTCACCAAGTCCCATGCTCCTCCACAGTAAGTTGCGGTAATGCAGCACAGACAGACTCGCAGGCACTTCCGTTCAGGAAGACTCCTTACCCTAAGGCCCTAAGGCTCCTCAGAGGGTGTTGGGCCTTCTGAGGGAGGGTTTCGGCTTTGGGGGCTAGGGTTAGGGACCTCGCTGCAAGGGTCCAGGAGCCCTAGGGTACATTTATTAAACGGATGCTTTTAAGATGACTCACCCTCAACTTCTGTTCCTTGCTTGACGGCTTTGGAATCTCTGGAAATTTTCTTCATCGTGGTACCCTACTAGTGGCTAAGCTCTACATTCAGGCTTTTGGATTTGGGGCTTTTGCGGTTAACTTTTGGAACACTAAACCCTAAACCCTTACTTAAAGGTTCATGGGAGTTCGTAACCAGGGTGATAAATGAGATAATTGTACTATTTAATTCCTTATAACTTCCAATCTCAGCCCTGGTTATTAGAACCGTACTTGCTACGTCCCATGATCCCCCACATATTGCTACACAGTTTCAGTTGCAGAGGACTTCCGGGGACAAGATGGTAGAAGTTGATCTGGGCTTCGCGCCCGGAGTCAAAGCCGTACCCGGACCCTATAAAATCTACAAGCTTTCATATCAAAGGGATCTATGAGGGGTTCCTTTAAAGGGGTCTACAGTGGTTTTGGGTTTAAACTTACTTGAACCCTCCAGCTGTCTGTTAATGTGGCATCTCCTTCGCCCCCCCTGAACCTGCGGAAAGAAAGCAAGGCGATGCTCAAGGACTATAGTCCCCTCGCGCGAATTCTGCTCGAAGCGACAGGCTTAGGGCTTTAGGGTGTACAGGGTTTCACGGTTTCAGTGTTTTGGCACTTCGGGGCCTCCTTGAGGGCCTAAGGCACGGCCAACATGCTACACATCGCCTTAGGTGGGGTTGGGTTTTGTGCACCTTGCGGTTTAGGGTTTAGGGCCGGGGTTTAGGGTTTAGGGCTTAGGGTTTACTTTGCCGCTTGGCCTTCATGCTGCACATTACGCTGCTCTCGGGTGAGGATTTGACAAGTATTCCTTGCGCGGAGCTGAGCGATGTCAAGACATTGAAGCAGCGATTGCATCACCAGCATGGCCTCCCACCACGCTTCAGGCAAAGGCTATTACGCGAGGGCAGCATCTTAGATGATGCCTTCGAGTTGCTGGGTTGTCCTTTGGGATCTGTTTCAATTTCCCCTACTGTTTTGTAGGGAACCATAATAGTAAACAATTTTCAAACGCTGAGGGTCCATGTACCCAAATAGTATATACTTTGGCCTTAAAGTACTCCCTCTATAGGTACATTGGGCTCAAAGTATATACTATTTGGGTACATGGACCCTTAGGGAAAGGGCTTAAAGGACAACTCAGGTTGGACGCCCCGATGGATCTGCAAGTTTTGACTTTGCCTTTCTCTGAGGCATCTGAAACACAGGATCGGCTATACGAAGCGTCCCGTTGTGGTCCTGCAGCCGAGGCAGGTTTATATAGGGGTTTCCGAAAATTAGGGGTACCTTATTTGGGGGTCATTATAACAAGGATCCTACTATTTAAGGTACTGTATTAGGGTCCCCTATTTTCGGAAACTTCCATATGGGGTTTAGGGTTTAGGGTCGACACCTGCAATTGAAACTACCAGAACCCACTTGTCTAGGTTCTGAGCCCGAGTATGGAATACGTATAGAACCCCTGCAGGAACTCACATGTTGGTAGGTTCAGGTAGTTGTATTCTAAAACCCCGCCTTTTGGAAAAACACGCGCGCCATATCGAACCCTGAGGTGGAAAATCTGCTGCAGGTGCCAGCGGATCCGGATACGGTGGTTGTCGACTTCGATATGCTTCCGGGTGCCTGGACCCAGAAAACTGCATGTTCCGCGTTCTTCAGTTATGATTTCCTTGTATAACCCAAAGGCTCCATGCACCCATATAGTAGGTACTTAAGCCCTAAAGTACCGATAATAGAGGGACCCCTTTAAGGCCGAAGTACCTACTATATTGGCACATGGAGTCTTAGGGTAAGTTCTTAGAGAGGTGGACTTCCTGGAGTAATGAAGTACCCTAACCCTGGAGCCTATGAAGGAAACGTAGACGCCCAAACCTTAGAAGGGGCCCCCACCCTGTAATAGTGGTATAATTGGAATATAATAGGGCCCTAATATAATCCTTATAGTCACTATTACAGGGTAGGGGCAGCTTCTAACCCAAACCCTACCCCCAAAGCCCCTAAACCCCCCAACACACCTTAAGCCTAAACACTAACAAAACCCTAAACCCTGAACCCAAACCCAAAACCCTAAACCTAACCTGGACCCTAAAGAACCTACCTTTTTAGGGTTCCTTAATATGGTTTCCTTATATAAGTCCTTAAAAAGGTAGGTTATTTGGGGTTAAGGAAGACCCTAGAATAAAACCCTCAAAGGCTCACCACTGATGAGCGCATCTTCGGCAGGAAGACTTGATGTGGTACAGCTGCTCGTGGAGGCCAAAGCTCAGGTAGACTTGGCCGGCCCAAGCCCTACTCTTTTTTTGGTAGGGCCCCTGTAAAGTCTTTATGTTGTTTAAAAGCCAATATTTGAGGTTTATAGTAATAACCTACTTCTTTGTAGGGTCGCGTAAATTCTATAACCAGGTTTTTTGACTACAACAAGTTTGTTATGATAGCTTGAGGTAGACTTGACGGACAGTTCTGGCGGGACAGCGCTGATCTATGCTTCCATCAACGGTCATGCTGGAGTCCTGCAGTTTCTGATGGAATCCGGTGCGCAGGTGGGCTTGAGCGACCGCCATGGCTGGACATCATTGATGCATGCGGCGGTCAACGGCCATGCTGAAGTCGTAGAGTTCCTCCTGGAGGCCGGTGCTGAGCTGGATCTATGCGACCAGGAAGCTAGGCTTTGAAGTACCATACTTTAAGACTTTTGTTGGGACCTGTTCCTTAAAGGGAACCATTATGAAATAAAAGTCTGTACACTTTTTTCCCCTGGTTACTTCAAAGTCCAGGAAAGCAGCGGTGCCGTGATGACAGCAGCCAATCGCGGACATGCTCGAGTCCTGCAGTTGCTCTCGGAGGCATGTTCTCAGAAGGATGACTATAGCGGCCGTACCGCCTTGGTGTTGGCGACATCTCGGCGATTACTGGAGGAGCGCACTTCCCAGAAGAAGTCATCTAAAAAGTGAGGAGAAAACTACGCCCTAGGCTTGCGATATGAGAGTTTCAGAGAAGAGGGGTACCTCATTTTGGGGGTGCTTATGATAAGGATCCTACGATTTAGGACACTACATTCGGGTCCCCTGTTTTCGGAAAATCCCAGTTATCAAATCAGCGCAAACTCCTCTGTAGTAAGGTTTTTGTTGCGACGTTCTCGGCCTGTCTTCAGGCTTGTAAACTGGATCCGATAGCTCTGGATGTTAATCGCCATACCTGGGCCCCAAAAGTATGCAGAATAATAGCATTTTATAGGTTTTGGGGCCATTATTTTGCCTACTTCGCGGGGTCTAGGTATTCTGAATGGTTATTGAAACCTAAGCCTAAAACCCTAATTTTTGTGCAACACTCTACGAGCATCTCGTAGATCATACAGATAGGGCCTGCATGTCTCCGTCAAACCTGACAAATGACTTAAGGAGGTTTTGAAGAGCCACATCCGCAGCCCGAAGCGCATCCAGACGAAAATTTGGATTTCTAGGTTTGGGGCCTCCGGTTTTGGATAGGGCTGTTTGGTTTTCGGTTTTTGGCTTACGGGCGTTCGAGTGTAGAAGTTGGGGTTTTAGTACCTGGACCCCAACTCTCTTATCTTCTTAAGGATTACATCACGAAACCACTAAATCCCTAAACCCCAAACCCTAACCCCTACAGATCCCTTGGAAGGAGCCTCTCAACGAACTCCTATAGATCCCTTTAAAAGGAGACTAGGAACGTGGGCTTTGAGTTTGTAGGGGGGTCGCCTTGACCCCGAAACCGCCGTGTTCGCCAGGCGGTCGCTCTGGTCTTGGCCATGTCGGCGGTGGGCTCGGCGTAGGCTTAGGGGTCTAGGGGTTTAGGGTTTTAGGGTTTTAGGGATTAGGGTTTAGGGTTTAGGGTTTTAGGGCATAGGGTATAGGATTTAGGGTATAGGGTTTCAGGGGTTTAGGGTTATAGGGATTTAGGGATAGACCCCCTATAGATCCTTCTAAGGAACCGCCTTCGAATGAAGTAGAGTCCTAAACCCTAAAACCCTATACCCTATACCCTAAAACCCTAAAGCCCTAATCCCTAAACCCTATACCTATACCCTGAAACCCTATACCCTAAAACCCTAATCCCTAAACCTTATACCCTATACCCTAGAACCCTATACCCTAAAACCCTAATCCCTAATCCCTAAACCCTAACCTACTAGGCCCCCATGCTCTTCCATGGCTACCCTGAGGCTGCTAAGAGGGTCTTGGGCTGTCTGGGAAAGGGTTTTGGCTTTGGGGGCTAGGGTTTGGGATCTCACTACGAGGGTCCAGGAGTTTTAGGATAGTGTGTAGGAGTTTTGTTTGGATGCAAACACTGATTATAGCCCAGAGGGTCCATAGACACTACCATTATGGAAGTAGATCCCCCAAACCATAATAGGGATCGTCTTTTTGGGACCTAATTCCATAATGGCAGTGTTTATGGACCCTCTGGGCAGTAAGATCTTAACCGTAAAACTGGCTATCCACAAATGGTACTAAAGTCCTGAGTCGGTTACTTGGAGGGTTTAGGGTTTAGGGGTTTAGGGTTTAGTGTTCAGGGGTAGTTATAGGTGGAGTTATAAGTAACTATACTTATCACCCATATTAGGGGGCTTATAACTCCACTTATTATAACTACCCATCAACCTCCATGTACCTAGGATCTCAAAGATTCGCAATAATAGTAGTCTGCACAGCCGGCCATAGGAATTTCCCTGTAAAGTAAAGTACGCTTTTCCTCAACAACATATGCGTGGTTGTCAAAATTATGGTCCTTTTTTGGGTCCTTGATATAATACGGCACCTAATATTTAGGGTACCCAAAAAGGGAACCTAGTTTAGAGAACTACCCATATGTTACTTATTCGGGCCCCTACTGTCTCGGCTGTAGGATTTGGCGGATTGGGGTGCAGGGTGGCGGAAGGCATGACTTGCTTCACGCGGATTGATGCAGGGAAAACATACAAACTCTGACCGGCCACAGTATGCATCCGGTTGCGCCTGATTTTACGTTGAAAGCGTACTGACCAATTCCTCCAACCCTCCACCGAGACGTGGCGAAACCCACTTCAGGATTCCTTAAATTAGGGGTACTAAGAAATATTTTGTATTTTTTGGTTATTATAATCCCTAAGAAACAGCTAAAATTATAGTTCTAAATTCAGTATAGATTCCCCTAATTACACCCTAAAGCCTTCTCTGATGCTCTTGTGACGACAGGGGAGCATTAAAATTTGGTGGATCCCGAACCTTATATTTATCTAAGTGGCAATTTGGGAAACTTTTTAATTCCCTTTATGGTTCCTATAGAGGCACCTATTCATAAATGCTTTCCAGAGCCCCAGAACTACAACCCAGTTATCTGAAAACGAATTTGACTACCTTTTGGGGGTTCCTTATTGTGATTTCAACTGAACCCTAAACCCTAAACCCTAAACCCCTTAAGCAGGTACGCCTCTAAGGGTCCAGGGTCCAGCTAGTTTAGCGGGCACAGACATGCTTGACAAATAGAATTTTGGCATATAGTATGGAAAACTTAGTCTGGCACAAAAACACAAGTTTTCATGTTTTGCGGCTCTTACAAAAGTAGTCTTACTCTTATTCCAAAAGTTTGAACTTTGTTTTAACCCAGGGGTATTCGGGAAGTAAGTATAGTTAGAAAACGGAGCCCCGACACAGTATATAGTTGGTGCATTAGGCCCCATATACAGCCATTGAAGTACTCTGGGCTTCCCACCAACCTACCAATTATTACCAACTTCATTCCTCAGGGATCCTCGTTGAACACCAGAAGCCCCACACCCCCGAATCACAAGCCACAAACCCTTTTGTTGTGAGCTTTGAAACTCTGAGATGCGCTGTCCTGCCGATATCTTAGAGCCCGTCTTGGTCATCGGTGGCTTCATTGGTGGGGCTCTAGGCAGGGGGACAGAAGGGAGCCGTGGAGCGGATTATAAAGTCATAGGACTTAGCAACTAGCGTCATAAATACGGTAGCTATACCTACAATATTGCTTCCCCAAAGGCTCCATGTACTATTTTAGTAGATACTTAAGCCTTAAAGGGGTCCCTATATAGGTACTTTAAGGCCTAAGTATATACTATATGGGCACATGGAGCCTTAGGGTTCTATATCCCAACTAACGTACTCATAACTTTACTTTCGAAGTCCCACAGTCCTCCAGTTAGAGTCAGCGAAACCTACATAGGGGTGTCCAAAAAGTATGGCAGAGCAAGCCTTAGTCTGTACAAAACCTAATGGCCAAGTCTTGTCCTGTCATCCTTGAAGTCGAATACAGGAGTTTACTAAGAGAAGGCCTGAGGGTCCAACGATATAAATCCTGCATTACCCATAATAAGGAATATACCAGAGTTCCCATAGTTTAGGGTCCTTAAGGTAATGCTGGGTTTGTATCATCAACCGAAACACTCCCATTGTAGGACTTTAGGTCCCTTACGCATCCAAGTACCTAGTACTCCCACAATTCTAACCTACACAACTACTATCCAATTCGCCCCGTAGCCCTAAAGCTTGCAGTCCTAGCCCCTGAAACTCAGCAGAAAGCTTCCATAATTGGCTTCAAGCCAAAACACCGCCCCTCAAAGAAGCCTACAACGCGCCCAAAAAAACGGAAAACCCTCTAAGCCGCGCGCGCCCCAATACATCCTTCCTTTGGGGACATCTTATACCACAGTTATAAAACTAACAAGGCATCCTCAAAAACTTTATTCTAATCATTAAGGCCCTACACTTGCAGGGCCCTACATGACGGAACCAGAAAGAACCCTACTATAGATCCCTTCCAGAGCCCTTGAAGGAAGCCTTTCAAGGCAAGCGCTATTCCAATCATCGAGGCCCCCACACTCAAAGGGGAAAAGGAGGGACCCTTAATAAGGACCCCTAGGTATATACCCTTAGTTATATACCCATTATATAGCCCGTTATAGGGTAGGGGTCCCCATTAAGGGTCCCTCCTTTTCCCCTTTGACACACTGAACCCCCATAATTCGCAGTGGCCCTTATAGACCCCTTCAAAGGGAACCTTAAGGCCCCTACATTGCAAACCCTAAGCCCGAAACCCCTAAACCCCCTAAACCCTAAACCCCGATAGTACCCTTATAGAGCCCTTTGAAGGAACCTGTATAACCCCCTTTAAAGCCCCTCAGACTTTGGAAGGCTGTCTTCTTCCAAAGGAGTCCTTGCGCGGATCTTAGCATCCTCCTGGTCTTCGCCGACATTGGGACTGAGGGCTTTCGGGGGATCTAGGTTCCAAGGGTAAAAGGAGGGACCCTTAGTGGGGACCCCTAGGCCTTTACCCTTAATATAGCTATGATATAGCCAGTATATAGCCCCATTATCGGGTATATAGGGGTCCCCATTAAGGGTCCCTCCTTTCCCCCTTTGATAGGTTTAAAGTTTGTTCTCTAGGGTTTTGGGTGTAAGGTCTAGGGTTTCGGGGTTTAGGGTTTAGGGCAGTCCCAAAGGGTCCTAGGTAGTGTCAGGGTGCCTTTAAAGGGATCTTTAAGGGTTCTATAAGAGATCTATAGAGCTTTACTATAGGGCTTGGGTCCTAGGTATTCTCATGGAACCTATAGGGTTTCTTTAACGGGATCGTTAAGGGTTCTATAAGGGATCTATAGGGCTTAGGGCTTTGGGGGTTTAGGGGTTTAGGGTCCGAGGTATTGTTATGGTATAATAGTAATCCCTATAAATATAGAGACCCTACATCCTACTATATAGGTACTTAGGACCCTTTGGGATTAGCGCCCTCGGGGATTTAGGTATGTTCTTGGTGTGCACTAGTCACTAGGGTGTTTCAAGTTGTTGTCGGGCAGATCTTTGAAGTTTGATCCGTGGTTTACGGTTTAGGCTTCTGTGTATGTTTCAATGATGTGGTGTCGTGGACAAGTTTAGATTTCTGAAGACTATTGATTAGCTTAGCTGATGCCCGTATGCCTAGAGAGACAACTATCCCA